GGTTAAGCCGGAGTTCACTTGGCCCTATGCCTGTCTCTTATACACATCTATCCGTTTTTGGCGGTCGGCATCGGAAATTTTTAATGGAACCTGTTCCTAACTGGACCTAACCTGCGAGGTTTTCGTTGATCGGCTAGGTTTTTTCTATGTTAGGAGTCCGTCCGGCGGCCGGAAAACCTAGCCAATAGTTTTTTTCTATGTTTGGAGTCCGTCCGGCGGCCGAAAAAACCTAGCCAATCAACGAAACCTCGCAGGTTAGGTCCAGTTAGGAACAGGTTCCATTAAAAATTTCCGATGCCGACCGCCAAAAATGGATTTCAGATTCGTAATCTACACCCCAAAAAACATATAATTTAAAAAAAAAAACACCATTTTTTTTGGATGTACTTAATCTGCAATAATACCCTCTTGCTTATCTGTGAGTGACGTGCACAATTAACAATATTGGGATTTTCTCTGTGTTGCCTGACGTAACGTTCATGCCGAGGCCGATTTCTGACGACCTGCAAACCTGTTTCTAGTTGCCACTTGCCTGGAACGTTTTTTTTTTCAAGGCGGAACGCTTTTTTTTAAGTGAACCTCTAATCTTAGATTTCCACTCTGTGCTCATTTCCATTTGGATTAAAAAAAAGGACGCACATTTATAAAATAGCAATTAACATTGATTGCATTTTATCTGTCTGTCTGTTGAAAATTCTTTAATTCATGACTTAAAAGATCCAGTCACAGCAAAGCAAGAATAGTAGAGACTAGAGAGTAGATATTTTTGTCCCTAGTGAAAGCAGAGACATTTTAGACTCTTACTCAAGTTCATTTTTAAGTCCTAAAAGTAGACCAGTAAAGTTAAAAGTATCATGGATACCAGCATTTTCATACATAAGATGATTATACATAAGCATTTTCATACTTTTCCTAAACATTCTAGGTAGTAGGTACCTATACTACAAAACTGACATATCCAAATCAAGCAAGTTACTTGGTTAGATTGATTTTGAATATATAATAAATATTACCGTACATCTAGAAAGTCTACCCTCAGGCCTCACTGGCACACTGCCAGTTGCCAGAGGGCAGAGGCCATTCATTGATGCTCAAGTTCAAGCACGAGCCTACGACCGCTACGAGGCACTTGACTTTACTAGTACTGGGCAGGGTGGAACAGTGGTTAAAGTTCAGAGTACCAAGACTGGCAGAGAGAGGCGCGAGTTTGATCCTAGCACTGTGCGCCAGTTTCTGGTCAGAATCGGCAAGGAGGCCGGGCGGTTTAGCACAGCAAAATTGTAGCATCGAGTTGCGAGTTCGAGACTGCAAAATGCTGTGAATGTTCTGTGCTGTTAAGAATCGGCGACAGGCCTACGGCCTAATAAACGCTGAAACCGCTATTATTTTATTATTATATAGGTAGTACTACGCTACTACCAGGCCCAGTCTACCACCCTCACCGGTTCACACTTCACCCTATATATATATATGTAAGGACCTCAAATATCAGTAAGAACTTAGAGCTTTGGCAAGGATAATTCACAACTCTTGAAAATTTACATCGAATTAGTATAACTTGAGAAATTTGAACACTTAGTAATGATAAAATATAACTCACCATTTTGATAGCAAACAGCACTGGCACTAAAAACAAATCCAAATGTCAAAACCTGCAGCGACCAATCAGAGACACCCAACGCTTCTTCTGTTCGACTACAGTCAACAGCAGTGCCGTACAGTACGGCGTCATGAATGCATGCCAACACAAGTCTAAAATGAATATTTATTAGTCCAAGCTGAAAGTATATTTATAAGGAGAACGACTATAATTTTCTCTTTTAAATAATTTTTGTAAAGTAAGTCGAAAACTCAACGAAGCTCAAAAGTTTCTTAATTTTATTGTCCTTCTTTCAGGGTAATTTATATTTTTAGGGTGAAACAAGATAGCCCGAAGGTAAACAATAAATATTGGTGGCTACTGGCTTGTATGATGTACTGTTGGTTGATTAACTTAGAATAGTTAATAATCGCTCGTAAAAATGGCTATAGTGGATCCTTCATTGACTGAAACAACGTTGATGGATGAAGTTTTGAAGTATGGCTTGTTCCTTGGAGCTATTTTCCAGATGATGTGTATAGCAGCTGTAGTGTTCGTTCCCAGCAAGAATGAAAAACGAGTAAGTATTAATTTGAAAACTACTATCTGGTAATACTGGATAAAAATAGAGAATATTTCAAAACTTGTGACTGATAAGGTAATCCACAAATGCATATGGAAATTTTGCTCATGAGGTAATTAAAAATGAACTGATTCTAAAAAATCTCTGGGTAAATCCTAATTTCATAGTCATTGCAGGCTTCTAAATTCTATTCCAAATTAGTTTCCTCTCTAGGCTCTCTTAAGACTTAACATAGGTTGATAGCTAGGCAGAAGATGTGGAGGGTTTGAATAGAGTGGTAAATTTGCTGTGCTTGTGAAGTTATGAGAAATATTTCTATAATATTTCCTGAATCCTGTTTCTTCAATTGATGCTGTGGACCAAAAAAATATATTTATAAATTAATGCATCAAGTGCTATGGATCAATACCCAATAGTTTAAGAAAAAATTTAAAGTTTATACTCTTTTGAACATAACTTGAGTTTATTATCCATTATAATTAAGAAGCTCTGTGGTGCTGTACATCGCAAGTGCTGTACATCTCAGACCTCAGTTTCTTAGTGGTTCATTTTGGCTTTTTGGGTCAAATGTCTGCACCATATTTGGTATTTACTTGCACCTTAAGGCTTAGTACTAGGCTGCTTACACTCTCTAAGCACTTTTTCAGTATTTTCCTTGTGTGCACTAGAGGAAGAAATATGCCACTGTAAGTGAATTTTTGCCTCATATTTGTGATTTCATTGCTGCTATGATACTAATCAGTTATCACAAATATTACCATTCCATTTCACTACCTTCATATAAAATAATCTTTTGATAATGTAAGAATTTTCTAAGATAAAACTATTAAACTATCATGTCATATGAAATTAATGTTATAAAGTTTTCACTTTTCAGAGACAGCAACATTCAGGAGTTGATTACCAGGAGTTGGTTACCAGGCAGTTGATTTTTACCTGCAACAAAGTTTCTTCATTGGCAACCATTAGACAACTCATGTAAGAAATTTGTTTGTTTCAGGAGGGAGATTCAAGTGATGATGATGGCTCTGAACATGGCTCACCACACACACCACATCGATCTCACCCATCACATCAGTCTCACCACAGGCGCAAACATGACAAGAAGAAAAGACGTTAAATTCTTTTAATGTCCCTCGCCGTGTTGTCCATAGATCTGTGGCTAATTTCTGAGCTTAGATTGCTGTAAGAAATAGCAGGAAAGAGGGTCTCAATATGAGTTCCTGTGGTTGTGCAGTGTTTTAATTATTTTGATGATCCATTCTATTCATCTTTATATAATATGTTTAATGTCATACTAATTTTTTTTTTTCAATTTCTACATTGTCCAACTTTGAAGAGAAAAAAAATCAAATCATCTCTAACATCTCCCCTGCATCACCCTGACTTCAGCTTAATTTTACTCATGTTTTCACATAATATCTTGACTTTTCTAATGTTTTTGATTGACTTTACAAGTATGGAGACTTGCAATGAACAATTACTTAAGGCATATGTATAATGATGCTTTTATCTTGAGTTTCACTGCTGCATTTGTTTGTTTCATCAGTTCCACTAAATTAAGTAGTATTACTCAAGTTCTAAACTTATTCCTTGATAAACAATGTGTGAACAAATGTAAGTATTAAACTTGTGACTTGAGGATGACTCATAATACCAACAGGTTTCTGAGTATTATATGAAGCTGTCATACCCTTTAATTTTCGTATGTTAACTAAAATTTAGAAGGTATCAATTTAGTTATATATGCCCTTTGTTTGAAGGTTGTGCAATATGTCCTTATCATTAAAGCACATCGAGTAAGAGACCACTATTAATCTCTCAAATGTTACTATAATTCAATAACGAAGTGTTTTGTTTTAATTTAAGTTCTACGTTAGGTAGGTATAGCGTCTGTTTTTAAACCAGCTGATATTGGTAAACTTACGTTGAGCACATGATATTAAGTTATAATTATATCTGTACATTCTAAACGCGAGTTGCTGCTACTTCGCATGATTCTCATTTATATGTATCTACAAGTATTTGGTTTCCATCCTGCATATTTCTGTGATGTATATGTAATGAACTCTTCTTGTGATTCTTCACTTTATCTTGAACTGGCTTTTGCTACAAAAAATTTAAATTAATAATACTCGTTTCATGAAACCAACTATCTTTCTGAAAATTATTCTTTGAAACAAGGTGTCATATCCATTTTCATTTTTGCGATGCGATTAATGAAGGAATGAAGTCAGTTTTTATTAATTCACAAATTATTGCACAAATAATTCCCGTGTCAAGTGGAAAAGTAGACATTTGCTGGTCTTTTCAATGCACGTTCAACATGACTTGAAGTTCGAGGATATAAAGACTTGATGAAAAATTGAACATGTATTTGACCATATTCCTAAAAAAAGGCTGCGAGGATCTCAGGAAAGCGTAACGTATAAAATTGTAGTAAATAAGGGAATCCCGCAATGAGAGAGAGTACGAATTGCCAACTTGTGTTGAAGCAAAGAGATTCATTATATCAACAAATTATATAAAAATAGAGCTTAGTGGGACAACACTCGGTAATAACTCAATAGAGAACTAATATACTAAAAGAGTATAATAAGTACAAGGTTGCATGGCAGCTCAATTTCTTATCTAAATTTGACTATGATAGTAAAATGAGCTGATAAAGATTCCTAGAAGATAATAGCCTTAAAGTTAAGCTAGAGAGTAAAAAACTTCTACAAATTCGGCAATGAAATATCGACGCAGTCCCTGGAATTAACCTTGTGGTCTAAATTCCAGCACAAAGCTTACAAAATTGAGAGGAACATACATGTTCAAGTCTACATGAGGGCGCTGTTCAGTTACTTTCTTCGCACAATTAAAAGACCAATATTGACGTTAGGGTGAAAGTCTTAAACGCTAGTGCCTTTAATTAAATGATGAAAAGAATGTTAATAACAAGACGAAACAACATTGGCATCAGTTGATGAGCAAAAATTCATCATTTTTGAATGCAGCGATATGCCCACAGTAACGACATCGATTTCGCGATTTTTTCTCCAATCTTGGAAGAAGTATTCGTACTATAATTTTTAATTGAGAACAGATATGATAGAGTATTAATCACGTAGTACAAAGATTACACGTAATACTTAATTGAGCTTCCTGATTCAAGACCGAATGACAACAGAGGACGGACAGAAAGAGGTTAGGACGGGCGCACACTATGCGCGTCACTTTAATTCGACTGCCAATTAATTCGATGAGCTTAACACAAATTCATTATTGCGATGTCTTATCGTAAAATTACGTTTCATACAGCAATTATGCTGCCGCAATTAGTCATGGAAGAAACTCAAGGCAGAGAATTCGACTCGTGAATTTTGTAACAAATCTATTATGCGTGTCAAATCATCTAAGTTCATTTATACTTAGGTACGTAAATGCATCTTTTCCAATAGCTCTGGTACCGTAAATGAAAATCTCATTACAAGCAATATTTTAATTATCGGAAGAACCACAAGTAACGCAACTAATAGGGTACAGCCACAAACGTTCAGAATTAGGTACCACTAAAAACAAGAACTTTAAAAAATGCCACAAGACGCAGTCCTCAAATAATTGATACGATCATTAGTAAATAACTGCACATTGTGGGTTATAACCTGGAACTGGAAAATAACACGAATTAACCGTATCCTCCAAAGGCGCTTTCATTCTTTGCGCAAACTCGGCGTTCATTTTCTTAACTTATCAATTACTCTACAAACGTCCAAAGACTGACATTCCGACAAGACGCGTCACTCTGAAACTGCAAAACAACAGAATTCGGGTGAAATTGATTCCAACTCAATGCAATAGAATGTCGCGTGTAGGTCTTAGAACCTCGATCGCAAAACACCTCTTAGAACTCCCAGAGTGTGGCACGGGTGGGGTCGTTGTCGCCGAGTTTAAACCCGCCATTTTTCTCGGTCTGGAGGTACTGGCCGCTGGTGTTCTTGATCGCCATGCGGTTGCCCTCCCGCAACTCCATGTGGAAGCCTTCAGGGACCGGCGAGTCTGCCGTCAAACCATCGCTACCAGCCGTCCAGTACCCGCCACCGGTCTGGCCTGGCAATAAAAAGCGAAAGTAAAATTTGGAACCTCATTACTTCCCTTGCATAATATTGAGAAATAGTCATCAAATGCGAAATTATTATTTTAAAAATATATTTCAAGGTGTGGTTTTACGAAATATGCGGTAGAATTAAGAAGGCATTTGAGATCTTTGTCATCAAGGCCAGTAATCGTTGAAAAATCATAAACGATTCTAAAATAAACCACACAAAGTTTGCACTTACTTTTGAAGAAGACCTGTCCGTTCTCGCTGCGCTCCACGGTGATGGTGTCATATGACGCCTTGTTGCACTCCAGCTTGTTGCTGTTAGCGCGGAACCCAACGAATCCTTGGTCACACTTCAGCACCAGCACTTGCCTGTGAGCAGTTAAACACAACTGCATTAAAATTTAAATTCCAACCCCACACTGTAACCAGTTTACAACATACGACAAGGCACTGCAAATTTTTAAAACAACGCATCCGTCCTACAACTGGGAGAAAGCGGTGCGGGTGATTTGTTTACGCGTGCAAGCCGATCAGCCTGACGGGACCGTACCACGAGTTATCACAGTGTTATTTTATGAGGTGTTGACCCCTTTTCTCGACCGGCTTGTGATCTAGTGAAATTAATTCCCACAAGTTCTTCTTTTACCTTCATACCTCCCATATATTGCTGAAGTTGTGACATAACTGACTAGATGCCGGTGCTCTAGTGCAGCTCTACCGATTGCTAAAGTGATCAGACAACTAATTAGATGCCACTGCACTACCTGTAGATGAAATTGTACAAATGCGCGCTCTCACCGTCAAGCGTGTCGGCTTACTCCACCCGTTGACCTATTCTGCATCCTACTTAACCTAACCCGAATCCCTAATTACCATAGCCGTACTATTAAAAATAGTTAAGAGTTAGAAACTCCGTCAGTCAATCACTGACGGCTTCTCTAGTAAAAAAATTCACCAATCACAGGAGAGAAACAGATTGCTACTTGTACTTAAGCGAGAATTGACTACGCGACTCCACCTGTTGATGAGGTAGAAGTAGAAGCGTGCGCTTTCGTCGTCGGGCGTGTCGGCATTAGCGTAGAGGTGTCCGCTCTTCTTGCTGGCGATGAACTTGCCGTTGTTTGCCCTGAAGGCGACCGAGCCATCCGCCTGCCACTGCAGGTCGAAGAGAGCGTTCGAGGTCGGCTTGGCAGCGTTCGCCTGGATGCCCCCGCCGGACTCCAGGGTCCAGTACTTGTCCTGCATCGTGCGCACGTACCTGGGGGCGAGGTCAATTTTGATATCGATGATTTTTGTGAAGAAACGTTCTTGAAATTTTGGTATCAATGAGTTTTGTGAAAAAACGTTCTTGGAATTTTGGTATCAATGAGTTTTTTTGAAGAAACGTTCTTGGAATTTTGGTATCAATGAGTTTTTTGAAGAAACGTTCTTGGAATTTTGGTATCAATGAGTTTTGTTAATAAACGTTCTTGAATCCGTACAAAATTGTTAGAGTTTCTGAATAATGTTTTTTTTTATTCGCAAGAAGATAAAATATTTTTTAGTCTTGATTAAATACACAAAATTCCAGATTCATTTAGAAAGACATGAATTAAATTTGTGAAGAAATAACGAATAAAATGAATTTTGATTTTTATCAAAAACGTTAATTGTTGCTAACAATGAAAGAAGACCAGCGGGCCCATTTGAAGATAAAATATAAAAGAATATTGCAAAAGCAGATTATTTTAGATTGCAAAGGCACTCGGCGAAAAAGTAACAAGGATCAATATTGGACATACATATTAAGTGGATAATGATGAATGCAAGGTAAATGAATGCTAAATCATAAAATATGCCTGAAAAGAAATTAATTCATTTAAGGAATCAATAGGAAATATCAGTTTATGCATACAAGAAGTAGTTGTACCAACCAGCGGCCGGTGCTGGTGTCGTACTCGAGCTGGTAGCGCTCGTGGTCAGAAATTTCCTCCTGGTTTGCCGTCACGTCCACGCCTGCAAAGAGCCAAACCATCGCCGTCCATCAATGATTATTAATCAAATCATTCATTTTAATCATCCGCTGCAGATATATGATTATTAATTAAACCATTCATTTTAGTCATCCGCTAGAAATAAATAATGAAATGATTATTAGCCAAGTCATTCATTTTAATCATCCGCAGGAAATATATAATGATTATTAATTAAATCATTCGTTTTAATCATCCGCTGGAAATAGATAATGATTATCAATCAAGTCATTCATTTTAATCATTCGCTGGAAATATATAATGATTATTAATCAAATCATTCGTTTAATCATCCGCTGGAAATAGATAATGATTATTTTAGAATAATAAGGCAACGACATGAAATTGTTTCAGAAGGCCCATTTGGACTTTAATACCTACGACAGAAAAAAATAACAGTTGCTTCATCGTCAAAAGTACAAGCCTGGAGTATAACAAGCATTTCTCGATGGCACCAACTCGTTAGCCTCAATACGAAATGTAAACAAAAAATTCATTTTTACGAACAACAGCTGACGTGAAGAAAACAAACTCATATGGAAAACGCCAACGGCTACAGAAAGACCGTAGGTACTAAAAAAGTATTACTAGAGTCGAGAGAAAGCAAGCTGCGTTCATAACAAACCAAGGCGACACTAAAATGGAAAGTACGCCTACATATCACGGACCCAAAGCCTTCAGGAAGTGAAGCTGCAATCCAGACGACAAAAAGGGTCACAAATATAGAAAACTCGTCCCCTTAGCGGACAATTATCGTAGACTGCCGCCGGAAAGCAGCGAAGTAGAACCAAGTGCAGCTTACAAAAAATAAAACTCCCATGATTGTGGCCGCTTCAAATTCAACTTCAGAGATTCTTATGATACAGAGAGAATCCAATATCCAATTTCGGGTGATTCTAACAACGATGCTGACTATTATATGAATTTGAAATGCAGAAATTTTCAATACCTCTCCGTGGCTATTAAGCTGAGGACAGTAAGTCTCGAAAAGAAGAGCCTTCGAGTCACTAAAATTAAAAGGCACATCGTTAATGAGATAATTAGCGTTAACTGCAGCCAGAACACAGCGACGCGAGACATGATGATGATGAGCTAGGGAGCGCCGCCCGCACTCAAGCCATCTGCCGCCGGCATGACTCTTGCTATTGCAGCTGCAGCAACTAACGTGGCAAATGAAGCAGCAACTCTTGCTATTGCAGCTGCAGCAACTAACGTGGCAAATGAAGCAGCAACTCTTGCTATTGCAGCTGCAGCAATTAACGTGGCAAAAAATAATTCATGCAATGAAAGCTGTCTCGATGGACAGAGCTGGAAAGAAAATGGCAACAACAGGGAGGTTGTTGCCAGATCACCACATGAACAGAAAAAAACAGGAATCAAGGTAGAAAAAGAATGAAATGTTCCATAACAATCACTGTGAGTAAAGACAAAAACAGTATATAAATGCACAAGCAGCAGATGAAATGACAGCCGAACAACAACACCAGCAGCAGCAACAACTGCCGAACACCAACAATGGCAGTAACAACTTCCGAACATCACCAGCAGCAGCACCCGGAACATCAGTGATGGTGTCAACAAAAACGTTTGCATAAGAAATCAGTAAAGCAAAGCTAAACAACCGCGACGTAGGAAAGCAGATCACTCGGCATTTGGGTCGGGCTGCGGTGCGGCCATATGTTGCGCGCCGGTCGCCGTCTAGCGCGTGTTCTGCGCATCAGTAGCTAGCACGCAATAATAAAACTAGACTTCTAACTCACGCGTGTTAATCTTTGGAACGCAGCTTGCACGCTTATACATGCCAAGTTAAATACTAATTTCAACCCAAAACTTTAAAAAATTATAACACATACGTAAATATATGAATAAACTGAAACAAAATTCGTCGGTATAACATAGGCCTTTTGTCCACAAAAAGTTGCTCACGTGACCAGGCCTTTCCATACGAATGGCACTGATGATGCATAAACTTGACGCTCGTTGCCAGGCTGCTAGGTACAAGAAGCATAGGCAAACGTTGGAGCATCCAAATATGAAGTGTTAAATACCGACGTCCAAGCTTCCAGCGCAGCTCTTCAACTCGAAACCTTGAAACGCCTGGATACGAGGACACTGGCCGTTCATTTTCCAACGCGCCTTGAGTTCGCAGTGAAAGATTTTCTCGCTTCTTCAGTTTAGTTGTTTCCACAATTCAATAATGCAGAAACTGTTTCTCTTTCATTCCAGTGAATTTCACTCCAGACTGTACCTCTTTTATTCCTCGATATCCTTAGTATTTGTTTCGAACGTAGCAGTCCCAGGCTACAGTTATAGAGACTGTTCTTCTTTCAATCAAGAGACTGTTCCTCTTTCTTTCCAGAGACTGTTCTTTCATTCCAGAGACTGTTCTTTCATTCTAGAGACTGTTCTACTTTCATCAAAGAGACTGTATACCTATTTCATTTCAAGATCATTGCAGTCTCACGCCATGGACTAGTCTTCGTCCCATTACACGAGCTTCTTTTCATCATCCACTGATCGAGTATCCCGATTTTAAAGCATGATGCCTGTTTTCTTAAGTAACTGTCCATGGCGGGAATGTCCCGCAGTGGGGCTTGATTGTCTCGTTTTTTATTCATTAACCGCATAATTAAGATCACGTACATAACAACTACGAGTATATACGATGGTTTAGCAACGTGCATCAACAAGAGCAGTTGCGGTCACCCAATACCTCAGCAAGACGCCGTGGGAGCGTCGTCGTGAGTAACTGAATCACGTCACATGCAACCTTAACAACTGCCAACGAACTATTAAATTTGCCCGAAAACATTGCGATCACTACGCATTAGTTCGGGTTGCACTCGTCACGAAGTATATACTTCATTGTGTACTTATTTTTCTTTTGATACATTCTGCATTACTGCTCGATCGCTACATTCCTTAGCACAACTCTCAGGAAGTAAACGTAACGTAGTAGGTTTATATTTCTTGGTTTTTCAGTTGGAAGGGGGAACCATTAAAATAAATTAAGCTGCTGCCGAGTTTATCTTTTCTTTTCGAGGATGATCGAAACAAAATGGTTTTGATGAGTCATAAAGAACTCGTACAGTTAAAAGCAAGCATCGCGACAGTAAGCAATGGGTTATATATAAAGAACTCGTACAGTTATAAGCAAGCATCTGACGGTAAGCAATGAGCCATACATAAAGAACTCGTACAGTTATAAGCAGATATCACGACAGTAAGCAATGGTCGACAGTAAGCAAAAAAGAAGTCAAGGTTTACTGCACGACATTCGTCCCATGGCCATCCCCTGCTGACACGCATAGTGAATGTCTGATATTCATTACTCAGAGCGCGCTTTATTCATGGACCAGCCGCCCCCGGACGTTTCAATGCGGGCAACAAGGAACTTCTTATTCACTTTTGCATTATTGATGAGACTGAGCGAGTCCCGCTCCATTAAACTTTAAACATCTCTCCCCTGTCCCGCCCGTGTGCAGGATAATGTGTGGGATACTGGTGCAGTAGTGTGCAGTACACTGACTGTGATATACAGGCGCACTAGTGTGCAGTACACTGACTGTGATATACTGGCGTACTAGTGAGCAGTACGCTGACTGTGATATACTGGCGCACTAGTGTGCAGTACACTGACTGTGATATACTGGCGTACTAGTGTGCAGTACACTGACTGTGGTATACTGGCGTACTAGTGAGCAGTACACTGACTGTGATATACAGGCGCACTAGTGAGCAGTACACTGACTGTGATATACTGGCGTACTAGTGAGCAGTAAACTGACTGTGATATACAGGCGCACTAGTGAGCAGTACACTGACTGTGATATACTGGCGCACTAGTGTGCAGTACACTGACTGTGATATACTGGCGTACTAGTGAGCAGTACACTGACTGTAAAATACTGGTGCACTAGTGTGCAGTACACTGACTGTGATATACTGGTGCAGTAGTGTGCAGTACACTGACTGTGATATACTGGCACGCTAGTGTGCAGTACACTGACTGTGATATACTGGCGCGCTTGTGTGCAGTACACTAACTGTGATATACTGGCGCACTAGTGTGCAGTACACTGACTGATATACTGGTGCAGTAGTGTGCAGTACACGGACATATACTGGTCTACAAGTATACAGGACATTGACTGCAATATACTGGTGTACTAGTATATAGTACTGACTGATATGCTGCAGTGCTGGTATACATGATACTGATTGCGATACTGTCCAGCCATTGTACAGTACACTAACTGCGTGAGATAATGACGTATCAATGTACAGCATGCCTTATTTAACGTACTGAAGTGTTATTTTAAATGAATTGTCATAGACTGCATTAGTAAACTAGAAGTTCGCAGATAATTCGGTTAGTTAGAGGCAAGATAGTTTGTAAATCAAATACAGGGCAGAAAATCATTATACGTTCCACTATATTTGGTACCGGCTGCCCAGATCGAAGAATTTTATAGTATTGTAAATTGAAGGAACATTCGAGACTAAATTATTAAAAAATACAGTAGCAATCAACATATTTTAATTTTAATAAGGCATTCAATAAATGTAATAAACCAATGAGTTGAGAAAAATACAAATAAAATTTTAACTCTTAAATGAGATTTTCATAAATGTTATTAAGCGTACGTAAATATTTTAGTGAGAAAATTTTGAACAATTTCCTGTATTCGACAAAAAAAACATAAATAACTTAGGTTTACCTTGACTCAAAAAAAATTGTCAAATATTTCCTGTATATAAAAAAAAATAGCTTGGTTTTAGCTTGACTAAAAAAAATACTTGGCAATTAAATGTAACTAGGCCAGTAGGCTCGTCTACCCTGCTTGACGGAGACGTAACGCTGGTTGAGGAGCGCCACGAAGGAGGCCTGAGGGAGGGAGTCCTCGAGAGCGAACAGCTCGTCCTTGGTGACGGTGTTGGAGCGGGACTTGAGCACCGCGCGGGACCCGATGGGGGACAGGTAGTGCCCCTGGGTGAAGGAGGGGCTTAGTGGGTTTAGGGTGCGGGGGGTGAAGAGGGGGACGGCGGTAAAGACACCCGATGGGGGACAGGTAGTGCCCCTGGGTGAACGGGGGGGTTAAGTGGGTTTAGGGTGCGGGCGTGAACATGGGGGACGGTGGTACAGACACCCGATGGGGGACAGGTAGTGCCCCTGGGTGAAGGGGGGATTTAGTGGGTTTAGGGCGTGGGGCGTGAACATGGGGGACGGTGGTACAGACGGCGGTATTAAGGACACCCGATGGGGGACAGGTAGTGCCCCTGGGTGATGGGGGGGTTTAGTGGGTTTAGGGTGCGAGGGGTGAATAGGAGGATAATGTTTATGAGGACGTCAAAGTGTGTGGGTGTGGGACATTAACGACAGCGGTAAGAGCGTTCATCTAGTGCAAGCAACATACAAGTTGGAGCTATAATGTTAAATTATCAGGTAAGACGAGGTAACGTCTAATTACTAGATTTTCACCTCCAATATTGAAATAGATTTTCACTTTTCATTCGAAAATAACGAACGTAAAGAAATTTGAACAAAATCGCATGCATTTCGAAATATTTGCAACATTCTCTGCTGCTTGGTTTGCTCAAACTTGGAGACGCCGATAATATAATCCATATATGTTTAATCCGGTTTAATCCGTATATATAATTCGTCAACATTGTTCAACAAAAGAAGACGGATAATACTAAAAATATCATCAACCAACAGAAGAATCTCATCGTGAAAATTACAGAACAAAAAAGTGCCATGTCACCTGATAGTCTCTGAGCGCCAGACTGCCGTGGTGGTACTCGATGCAGAAAAGACTGTCACGCGTGCACTCTTTCTTGAGTTTGCCGTCTTTGTAGAGGTACATGTTGTTGCACGTGTGAATGGCGTACTTCTCGTCTCTGTACTCGAGCGTGAAGAGCGTGTCTTCCCCCCACGGAACGTTCGCGTCGAACTGAACCTCATCGCCAGCCTCGGACAAGTGGGCGTACCGCTTGCGTCCAAGAGAACGCAGGTTCACCTGGACATCCCATATGATATGAATTATTTATGCATATTATTAGCTAGCAGTTACGGTGAAAAACATCCGTATGAGTAACAAACGTGCTACTCATTGTTAAAATAGTCTAGATATTCAATTCACAGGATTGATTTTTCGAATGAAGAGCGCACGTTGAAGAATCCGGTGTTAGTTGGCCAGATGCACATTACAAACCTGAGGCCGCGCTGCCAGATGCACGTTATTGATCTGTGAGCGCGCTGCCAGATGCATGTTACAGACCTGATATCACGCTGCCACACCACGTTATAGACCCAAGGCCGCGCTGCCAGATGCACGTTACAGACCTGACTCCGCGTTGCCAGATGCACGTTACAGGTCTGAGACCGCGTTGCCAGATGCACGTTACAGATCTGAGACCGCGCTGCCAGATGCACGTTGTTTCTGACCTGAGACCACGCTGCCAGATGCACGTTACTGACCTGAGGCCGGGCAGTCAAATGCACATTACAGACCTAAGGCCGGGCTGCCAGATGCACGTTACAGATCTGAAACCACGTTGCCAGATGCACGTTACAGATCTGAGACCGCGCTGCCAGATGCACATTACAGATCTGTGACCGCGCTGCCAGATGCACGTTACAGATCTGAGACCGCGCTGCCAGATGCACGTTGTTTCTGACCTGAGGCCGGGCTGCCAGATGCACGTTGTTTCTGACCTGAGACCACGCTGCCAGATGCACGTTACTGACCTGAGGCCGGGCAGTCAAATGCACATTACAGACCTGAGGCCGGGCTGTCAGATGCACGTTACAGATCTGAGACCGCGCTGCCAGATGCACGTTGTTCCTGACCTAACTCCACGCTGCCAGATGCACGTTGTTCCTGACCTGAGGCCCCGCTGCCAGATGCACGTTAGTGACGTTACTGACCTGAGGCCGAGCTGCCAAATGCACGGTCCAGAGCTCAGCGTCGGTGGGGAGCTTAGCGCTGCACACAAGCTTGTCGCCGGCGGCACCGAGGTAGTAGCCGCGGCTAATGTTGCGGATGGCCCAGCGTCCGAACTCATCGTCAGTCACCGACACTTCGAACAAGCAGGACTCGTCGCGCTCGTCAGCCTCGCACATCACGTTGCCATACTGAATGGGTGAGGGGGGGGATTGAATAATGAAAAATGAGAAAGTAGTGTGCATCGAGGTATAGTGAAAAAAACGTAGATCAATACTTTGAACTTACCCGACACCAGCCAATACCAGAGTGGCAGGTATTGGCAGGTGTTCTTGCCCATCCTGTGGGGAAGTACAAATACAGAGGAGAAAGGGTAGATTGAAAAGAATGTATGATGGTTAAGGACATGCATCACTTTTTCACGAGGGTTTTTGGGGCGGAGGCTTTTTCGTTACGTTTAAAAAAAACTGCCCAAGCAAGCAAACAAATTGTCAGGGAACAAATAAATTGTCAGGGAACTAATAAATTGTCAGGGAACAAATAAATTGTCAGGGAACAAATAAATTGTCAGGGAACAAATAAATTGTCAGGGAACAAATAAATTGTCGGGGAACAAATAAATTGTCGGGGAACAAATAAATTGTCAGGGAACAAATAAATTGTCAGGGAACAAATAAATTGTCAGGGAACAAATAAACTGTTGCGCACAATGTCAGGGAACAGCCCCAGAGGACACACCTGGTCGACGGAGAGGTACTTGTCGAGATGCGACTTGAAGCAGATCAGGTCGCGTTCGGCAGGCTCCAGCAACCACAGCTGCTTCTTCTTCAGTGACACGCCTGGGCATCGAACGTATTCGTAATATTTATTAATATCGTACGAAAATTGGCATAAGCCATGATATTCTATCCCTGGATACAAGTCATCAAGATCTGCTGGAACACTGACATATTCTAGTCTGGGTTGTAAGCCATCATGCTACGTTTTCGTCACCCATAAACAATTTTTAGCAATGCAAGTGCACGTTCGAAGCGAGCTTAAGAATTCTAATTGCAATAATGGCAAGCGCTGCACCTACTCGTGTTTGTCAAACTGCCCTTCAATTAGTTATAAATCGTGTACAATTATAATTTAATTTATACGAGATTAACCGTCGATCCTTCTTAACTAGGTAGGGTTGAGTAACCTAGAGACGTCAACGCTCATCATGGCTTGATAAATTTGTAAAAAGTGCAAAGTTTGTAGGCCATTAAGGTAAACAATGGAAATTCGACACAGGTAACGAACCATTAGCATCTAACTTCTGATAATAAGTAACCACCACCTAATCCACCTATACTACTAAATAATCTGGTCCCGTTAAGCGAATGCTAGGTAGACAGAAGTAGCAAACCCTTGGCAGCTAACTCCTGCATGGTAGAAAGTAGCCACCACCTATACTTTTAAATAATCTCAGTCCAGTAGTACCAACTCGAGATAAGTAACGAACTATGTGGACCTTACTCCTGTTGATAAGTAACCACCACCTATATATACTGCTAAGTAATCCTGGTTTATATAAAGGACTGCTAAGTTGACAGAAGTAACAAACCATTAGTAAAACACTACTAAGTTGACAGAAGGAACGAACCATTAGCATTTATCTTGTATCCGAAGGCTGCTAAATAATCCTGGTTTATATAAAAAAACTGCTAAGTTGACAGAAGGAACGAACCATTAGCATTTATCTTGTAGTAACGAACCATTAGCATTTATCTTGTATCCGAAGGTCTCGGCGGTGAGGTACTTGGCGGTGGCGTTGTAGAGGCCCACCGTCCAGCAGCCTGGGGGAGCCCCACACACGCTGCTCAGGCACCCATTCACCTCCCCGACCACGCCGTTACCGCGGGACATCTGCACCCATACGCCACCAGGAGTTATAGATAGACTAACAGTTATCCCTAGGTTCCCCTGGAAATAACTCTTAGAAATAAGGTTCCCCTTAAAATATTTTCACTTGGGATCTTATTTCTAACAGTTATTTCTACTGTTAGAAATAACTGTTAGAAATAAGGTTCCCAGTGAAAATATTCTAAGGGGAACCTTATTTCTAAGAGGTATTTCCAGGGGAACCTAGGGGAACGGGTGCATACAATGACTGCTTACACACACCATGAACTTCTGTACATGAAACTAGTATAAATGCAAACAATATGATTGTTCACTTACAGTGGGAATTATACACACTACACAATAATAATACACAAATGTTACAGTGGGAATGTGTACCTAATGAGGACGTGCACCTACAATGGGTATCTGCATACCTACAATGAGTATACAAATAAATTATGGGTTTGTATAGAATGGTCAGGCGCTGTTTCAGTAGTAATTTCAGAGATCTGCAAGGCGAAGTGGGTCAACATCAAGCGCTGTAAAATGTCTCCGCGCTCAAAAAAGTGATATTGCGAGATGAAATTTTATACAAAATAGGATCGAGTGCATTTAGAAATAATTTTTCCATGGAATTTATAAAAATTCATGAATATTCGGTAAAGAAATCGCGTGACTCGCATTGTGCGAACAAAAAAACGCGCTCTTTGGACATCAAATGGGAATTTATCATTCGACGGCGGCTGAAAAATTAACAAAATATAAGTAGTCATTATATAGTGAAGCATGAATTAATGAAAGAAAACGAAAAATTTTCGGAACATTGAACTTGCTTGAAGAAAATCAACATATTCTTAAATAAGAAGCACTACAGTAATGTAAAAATTAAAGATTAAACAAATATGAGTAGGTTCCAGTGTTCAGACCGGAAGGTTAGGAAAGGTTAGGCACCACAGAATATTAGAATATAAGTTCTCTGTAAATCGACGGAATGACGGAGAGCTGTGTAATTATATACCTTAATGCATGACGTCAGTTCATAACACGTTACCATATGCTCCACAGCAGTGCATGGTTTACAGATTTATGTTTAATAAATTTACAAACTAGAAGCCCCGTGCAGTAGTGACGCACCGCCAAATAACACCACATTTTAGCCGCTAATAAGCAGCATAACTATCATTTTTTCTCTGTTAATGCTCTTATAATCAACGTATTAGGCAAGAAAATAGTTTGAATTCAGCAGTGGGAAGCTAAGATCAAGTGGCTGGCGTTAAGCAACAGCTGCAAATCTTTGCCTTATTTTCTTGTTTTAGGCAGAGAACATTTTTGGTGGAAAAAGTTACAGAAAGTGTTCACGAACACCGGGAAGGACCTCGCATATCACTGCTGGTATGCATTCTAAAACATATTCAATAACACTGGCGTCCTCTAACGGTATAGAACGATACAGCGGCACTTTGTGATAAAGTTGTATAATATGAGGCAATGATCTAAACGTATCCTAAATGATAATGCGGTAACCTACGATTTAGCGGTAACTTGAGACATAGAGGTATCCTAGATTATAATGTTATTTTATGGAGTAGCGGTATCGTCAGGCACAACGGTATCCTAGGTTGAATATTAATCACAATAATAACAAGACTTAGTGGCATGCTAAGATTTGCCCAGGATAATAGTGAACGCTCAAGTCTGTTAATATGTATAGCGTTGTAAGCGAACCTAGCAAGGAACGTTCGTACAGGGTAAAGAAGTAAGAAGCAAGGCCGTGGCATGTGTCGTGCATGCCGTTATTTCAGACATCTGTTGAACTAATGCCGTTCTGAGATGCCGACCAGTCTACCCCTCGTGCAGGAGAAATCCAGCAGAACTGAGGTTAACTTTCATCCAGAATTGATTGAGGAGTAATTATGGCACGGTGCGACAGTGAAACCTAAATGTATCAATTTCATCGATGTTCGTGCAAGTCCATACTGTCATGCACCAGCCGCATTAATCAAGCACCAATTAGACTGATCACGCTCGAGATCGTATCAGGTAAAACAAGAACAACAACATAAGAAGAATCAAACTCCAACTTGCAAAATTAGGACTGTCAGAACTCCGAACTACTTTAATCCAGATCAGAAGCAAGATTAACTCTTTTTTTTCTCTCTCAAAAAAAAAAAAAAAAAAAAAAGACGCCAGTATAACATTCGAATGCACACATGCAGCACCAAAACACAGTTGATTTATCAGTAATTTTAAAACCTGGCATAATATCCACAGAGGTTGATCCAAATCAAAATTGAAACAGCACCGAAATAATAAGTAAACAATTTAGCAAACACTGGCTCTAGAGACTCACAAGTGAAAAGATTGTATAATTGCCATACCTAATTGCCGCAGCTTGTCATTACCGCAGACCTACAAGCAAGCTTTCACGGACTTTCCTATCTCGGCTAGGAACTTGGAACTATTCTCTCGTCCGTCGGAGTGGAAAGACTGCCTAGGTGTCTACAGCTTTGATGTGTTTTTTTTAGGTCATAATTATTTTTCAAGTCGTATTTTTTAAGTCATAATTCGGACTCATATGAAATAGTAGAAATATTTTTAGTTTATTCATTACACTAATATTTAGTAGTCCCAGTACTTGAGTATGTTTGCTACTGCGTGGTAAACGTGCGAAGTTACATAGACCATCGTGGAGCTGTAGATTAATGGCCGAAAACTTCCGAATTGAGGTACCAGGGTGGAAAACGACTCCATTCAAACCAAATGATTTCGGTCCCCGCCGGCGTTTACGATATTTTTCTCCTGGGCAATGAAAACTAAACATTGCTAACGCAGCATAAAAACAGCTTTACGCAGAAGGACTTGAAAAACAGTTATTGATAGAGCGGTCTGTAGTGCCGTGTTTGTTGCAGCACTCGGCATGCAACTGACAAGTGCGTCGACCTACGGCGTGCGTGATACAGGAACGTCTCCGACATTGTACCGTCCGGTGCATTGAACTGATGGTGCAGATACACTGCACCATCGTTTCCTTGTGCAACACTGAGAACACTGAACTGATGATGCAGATACACTACATCGTCTCTTTGTGAAAAGCACTGTCCAGAACACTGAACTGATGGTACAGATACACTGCACCATCGTTTCCTTGTGCAACACTGAGAACACTGAACTGATGATGCAGATACACTACATCGTCTCTTTGTGAAAAGCACTGTCCAGAACACCGTCCATTGTATTTCTCTCGCTGTCCGTGCTGTGCTCAGAGAAAACCTAAGCGGAAGTGCATTAACGTGACAAGCTTAGAGCCATTAAGCGAGTCGGACTAGAGTTCTACAGCCAGGCTACATGGCGCGGCGCTCCTGTTCCACATTCAGGCCGCATCCGCCGGGATACTCAAAGGACAGCCTCGTTTCCCGTCGCCCATGCAATCCGCTGCTGTCAATTTCACTCTCCATTGCCACCTGCTGGTCTCCTAAGGGAATGTTGTTAATTCTTTTATTTTATTTTTTTTATAAAACTAACACATCACTTTCAGAATTTGTTACTTTTTCCATCAAAAATTACAAATTAGTCTCCGACGTCATAAGTTACTTTTTCCATCAAAAATTAGTCTCCGACGTCATAAGAATTTTAGCATTAGTTCCGCAGTTACGTAGTAAGCCATGAGTAAATAATTGTGGCGTGGTTATACCATTAGTGCACATTCCACTTACTTCTAAGGAATTTTCATCCTCGTGTAACGCTAATAAATTAATAAAAATGGATCAGTCATAAAACAATTTGATAATGAATTTCAGAAAAATAGGACGAGTTCAATGTACATTTATTTGATTACAGTTATCTACCGCTCTAACTGATTAGTGGCCGACTTTATAGTTGATAGTTCTACATCTGAGAATTAGTCTGAATTTAATGGAAACTAATTCCCTTCCTCCTCTGAATAAAGCACTTTTATAATTTATTTTTATACAATTTTATACAAATTGAGTTGTGTGATAAATATAATGTCACACAACTCATTATCTCAAAGGTTATTTTAATTCAAGACTTCCTTGCAGACCAAACTCGACAAGCGGGGCCATGCAGCTGAACTCGGAAGTTGCAACACAGGGCGCGAGATCACGCCTGTGGGGTATAGTGGTAGGTAGTAAATAATTTTCATCTAAAGTTTACTAAATTAACGTAACTTTGCCGAAATTATTGCACATATTACTGAATTGTTGAATGTTTTACTAGAACATTGTGAGTTTTAGTTAATAATTCAACGCTTTATTGAATATTCTCAATTTTTATCGAATTAGTCGACGGACTGTTGAATTATTCTAAAGTTATTTTAATTTTTTAGGTAGGACGAATAATAAATAGGGTTACTGTATTACTAAAAATTTACTGAATTATTTCTAAGTTCACTGGATCATTTTAATTATCGATAAATTATTTGAAGGTTCAACATTCAAGTAAACGTTTTATATTTACAGCACCATGACCCTTAGCAAATAATCGAGGTTATATTAAAAAACAAAAATGAACGCTTGATTATTCACCTCTTTAAAAGGTTATCTATGAACGTACATTTAAATACGAGCCGTGATCCCGTGTGCCTCTCACCTCGATCGTGGGGTTGTTTTAGCAACATATACGCGTGCGATGATGAGTGATTGTGACCTTACCCTTGTCTTTTATTTCATGCAATGGTGCACATTCCAGAAAGGTCTCGAGTACTTCTTGTTTCAATTTTATATAAAAAAAAATCTAATGCAATTCGCTCCATCCAAGAAAATTATATTTAGAAAGCGTTGATCACGAGTCGATTTCATTGAAACAACGATTAATCTGCGATATTTCAAAGATAGATGGGCTAAAATTGAAAATCCATACATTGTCCATTTGATAATAGTACAAGTTTTAATAATGGAATACGAATTGAAAGAGAACAATGCAAGCAAGCTTGGAGTGCAAGGTCAGGCATGAGATCAATGTGGCCAGAGTGAGGAATGCTGATCTCAGGTCAAAGGTCATTAACCATGCAGTGGTCGCGTGAAAAAAAAAAAAAACTGACTAAATTGAGTGTAACTGAGTGTAACTGTGTAACTGAGTGTAACGAAACCGTACCTTGTCGTACGGTTTCGTTACACTCAATTTTCGTAACGTGGATGACACAGGTAATACCGTGATATGGATGACAATCCACGGTATGATGACATCCATATACCGTGGATGACACAGGTAAACCGTGAATGGGGCCACAATAGGATTAACGGATTAAGCATTGTTCAAGTTTCTACATGCAGTGATCACTAAGCCCGACAAAGATAACTATAATTTATTCATTTCTTAGGTCCCTGCAGCAGAATGGGAATCGGTCGGGAAGTTAAGAAAACGTTAATATTTCACAACATTTGGCCCTCATAGAGCGCATTTGTCTGATTTTATGTAAACATAAAGTCTCAAACGTTGTAAGGCTTTTCGAGCATTAGTACCGCAGTTAGTGAGCCATTAGTAAATCATTGTTGCGTGGTGATACCATTAGCCAATCGCCGTGCAGTTTCTAAAATACATGTCAATATCAGAAGCGCTCATAGAATTTACTATCGTTGTTGAGCTTACAATCACAATATCGAATCAAGTGCCAGATCCTACCAGGGATCACCAAATTGGTTTACACATCGCCCATAGAATATTTGTACTTACATCGATATCCTCCATGCACATGTATTTAAATACTAAACAAGTATTCAACGAATGTCTAAACTGAGTTTACTGCATGGTAAGCAATTGCTCATTCATGATATTTAATTCATTTACAGCAAATTTATTTTGAAGTGTTCCACTTTCATTTCATAGATTTAAATTTTACTAAATTTGCAATTTTTCGTAAAAACAATTGTTTCCAATATCATGAAAACCTGATATGAATCTTTGCATTTTCCCGCATCGACCATCTCACGGCCAACAAATTTATCGACCACTTGAGTTAAGTCCCCGACCTCTAGGAGGTCGATATTGACGACTAAGCTGACCCCGCCAGGACCTACACCGAGTATACCTAGAAGTAAATAAAGCAGAGACTTAATAAAATAATAAGATGGGCCGCTTGATTCGCAAAGGAATTCATGGCCTTAACTTCCAATTGTTACAACCTTTTTGAACAGCTACCGTCTCAAACCCTTTTTGCGAAGCGATGCACGGCATCTACATACGACGAATCCAATATGCTGAACTAGTCGTAACAGCTCCTGTTAAAACGGTCGTAAAAGTCCCCGTTATAACGTAAATACGAAGACCAACTGACTATACGTCGTAAATGCGCCGACTAACTGAGAGGAGTCCATTGAAAAGTTACGAGAGCTAGATGCATCTTGAGCGCCACGCATCACATCTGTCGAACGACCACGGCGTCTTGCCAAACATTTCAATTTAAAATCTAGAAAAGGTTTTAGCCATAATACTTAGCAGTCCAACGACTCTATTTTCCCCATGTCTGGCGCAGAATTTCATTTATTTGAATTTTTACGAAGTATTTTACTGGGAGTTCATATCATCACCTGGAAATAGGATGTTAAACTGCTGACGAGAAAACTGTCACACTAAACAGTGAACATAATAAATAATGGATGCCGCAGCATAAAGGGCATTACCGGAGCAGCTGTTGCGGGAGATGCACTGCTGTGTTATTCCTCAGCCTATAATACAGCAGGAGAAATACATACATTCTATACACATACAGAAGCATACAGCCAGCAGCAACTGCTCAGAGTTTCGACAGCTGCTGCAGTCACCGTTACTGCAGTTATCTGCGCAGCTGCAGTGGCTGCTAGATCAACAAGCCTGTCTACAGGCCTAAACTGCACTAGCCTCCTTCACAACTGCCTCTCGCGTTCTCGCTGCCTCTCGCGTTCTCGCTGCCTCTCGCGTTCTCGCTGCCTCTCGCGTTCTCGCTGCCTCTCTCGTTCTCACTGCCTCTCGCGTTCTCACCGCCTCTCGCGTTCTCACTGCCTCTCGCGTTCTCACAGCCTCTCGCGTTCTCACTGCCTCTCGCGTTCTCACCGCCTCTCGCGTTCTACGCGTTCTCACTGCCTCTCGCGTTCTCACTGCCTCTCGCGTTCTCACCGCCTCTCGCGTTCTCACTGCCTCTCGCGTTCTCACTGCCTCTCGCGTATTTATTTATTTTCTGCCTCCCAATAAGCTCAAAGCGAGCCTCAAGTGTGTGAAGTCATATTTTTTTTTTTTAAATACAAGAAAGCACGTTAGCTTTGATTATTATACATCGATTATTAATAGGTACTCTCACTTTACAGACGTTAGATGTAGATTTATAGTAGATACAATAACTGCGCAACCAGTACCAGTATAGCAATTGTGCAGAACGTTTACTTCTCTTACTCTGTAGACTTTACAAAGGCATTCAATTTTTCCTTTTATACTTTACTTTCAGGTTAAGTGATAAAATTGAGCTCGATGAAAAAAATTCAGCGATTTTTTGTGTTGAAATTTAGAAATGTTTACGGAGATAGATTTTCTCAAATTCATGTTAATAAAATTTGAGGGAAGAAATGTTTACTCACCAGGACATGAGTGATGACATCCTTCATGATGCTGACCTCTATTTCTGTTCTCACTCGATAAAACCAAAATACGATTAACAAGTCCTAATAAATAATTTTGTCCGACTTCGACGCAGTTTTTGCCCGACTTACTACGAATCGACTACTAATATCAGCGAAATAAATAGAAATCAACACAGCTCAATTAGCATTAATTGAATCTGCTTGACACAAATTAGACAACGATCATTTGGGGAAAGAAAATTGCATTAAAGAATAAATCAGATTACACAGAATAGAAATAATCTACAACTTTATTGAACATAGTACGAAAGATAGATGCTGTTCTCCAAGTAATCTATATCTACAGGGTGGTTAATATGTATTCTATTGTTACATTATTAGATGGAATATCTTATCCATTTTTAAAATAATGATCGTAATCTGAATTTTTATGTTGAATAATAACTCCAGTGATGTTAATTCTACTGTGGCTAAAAGTAAAATAAATTTTAGCAATTATGTAGCCTTCAACTCAGGCATATCAATACTAAGGCACTTTGCTATCATTTAAATGCCCCAGCACGTGATTCACAACTCTTTGAAGGTACCTTTAATTCCAAGCGTCTCCAGCTCACATTTATACCCAATGTAGGGTTTAGTAAGTGTTATTTTTACTAATTTTCTATTAATTTAACAACAATATTTACGGGTGATACCCATCATTTTACGCAACGATGAACATTGATCACCTTGTTTAGGCCAAGATATAATAAAGACAATTTTTGATTAGCTAGCTATTGCTTTTATCGGAGTCCTACCGTCAGCCTCACACAACACGCCCGATTCATTCCACCCCTCAGGGAGGCCTTCTGACGGGTGTCTGTGCTCGTCAGAAGTCCTATGGGATTTCGCGTTCCTAGGGGGGATTGTTCCTGAGCGCCCCACCGCTGAGCTCGCGGTGTCTGACTGCAGGTCTCAGTTGTGGGGTTAAGTTATTATGTAGGCAGGATTCCTTACATTTCCCTTCTCTGTCTTTCTCGTGCGGGCGGCCGATGTCCCGAGTAAGCGACCTCTTGTTCGAGTGTCTTCGTTTCTGTTGCTTTTCACCTGTCCCTCCTTGTCACTTCGTCTCTTTGAGATGCTAACGCTGCTTCCTTCGAGCCGGCTTCAGCGGGCTGGACATCTGAGACCTTCCGCCCCTTGTGGGTGATGAATAATTGAGACCTTCCACCTCTATGGTGATGTTCATCTTGACTTTCGGTGCGAGATAGCTAAATAGCTGAAGCGCTAATAAACATTTGGCCACTAAACTAACTAAACTATTCATTCCACAAGTAACATGCGAGTTGAAATATAACAAAGTTAGGCGCACTTGTAACCTGGGCTTATCAAGTCAACATACAGTTATTATCTGGACACAACATAACCGGAATAAGAACATTATCTGCACAATCGATAGGATGTTTACAAAAGATTTACTAGATTTTTGATCGGTGTTCTTAGCTCTGAAATGACGTCTGGATGATTATTAGTTTCTTCTGCTGCCGGGAACTCTAAATTTCTAACAAAGATCATAAGTTGCGTGAATACATTTAATTTACGATCGTCACAAATATACTTAGTTTAAAATATAAATAAACAACGTTGAAAATTTTACGCAGCGGCTCTTGCTGGGAGTAATTGACATCGAAAGGACTGTACATGGACAGTTGTGTTTTTGACTACAAAAAATGCATATATGGCTACAATAAGTCTCTGTATCTGTTTTGACAGTGTTCAGAGTAAAGGAAATTTCACTATCACTAAATTAAATCGACTTTTTATTGAAAAAGAGATTATTACAAGATATAAATACCTAAAAGGACTCAATTATCGCTTGGTCTATTTTCAGTCGATGAAAATCTCTACTTATGACATTCTCAAGATACCAAGAGTCACCTACTCTTTTTACCTCAACTGCTGCAGGTCACTCAGTCAGTTACACTGAGTTTTTTGGTCTGCCAGCGGGAAAAACTGACTGCCAAGTCTAACGCCACAAGAAGCATTACTCGACCCTATTATTCTTCACGGAATATAAAATGTTTTTGTCGCCGACAATCATGACTTTTAGCACAGGCTTCCGGCTTTTACCTTCGACACTTCTGCCACTGGTCTGCCTATTACACTATATAGATATTAAGTACAGCCCGAAAGCGCACGAACATCTATCGTGGAACTATATCTGGTATACATGCGGTGCGAGACAGAAACGCATCGAGACAAACGAGACATCTAGTACAGAAGCGCAAACCCATCTCACATGTACATGTAGTCAGATGTACGACACGTTAAAATATTCGCGAGCAGGATTTGCACCGTTACCCTCGAAAACATGATTTATGAGTAGGATTTACACTATAATCCTCGAAAACATGATTCATGAGCAGGATTAGATAAGCACTAGGCAGTGATATAGAACACAAAAAATATCGCGTTCTAGAAACTATAGAGTAATCTGTTAGAAGAAATTTCGTGAAAAGATTTAGGTTGTTACGGTAGAAAAAGAAGATAAAATTAAATTGAAAATTTTCCGAGAGAGCTAAGGTAGCGCAGGCCAGAGTTATCCCCAGGCCTGAGACCTACAAATGAAACCAAGACAAGCCGAGGGAGCGTTTTTATCTAGCAAAGTAGAACAAGAACGACTGGAGGGCGAGCCAGAGGTGCAAAGAGAGGCTGTCTACCTCAGTAAACGGGATACTTTGGTGCCAGCACGATGATTTACGGTCAGCAGGGTAATAAATGTTTTAGTATTACCATCATCGCAGGAGCAGTTGGACGGATTTCCACGAAACCAGCAAACGTTCACGGCGCCGAGTTTGAGTTTCTCTTATTTTAGGTCGATTAATAAAAAAATTAGAATTTTATATCAGGACCTACATAAAAAACCAGTGAACATATGTAGCCCAATTTCGTAAGAACTGTAACCAATATATAATATTGCGACAAATGGCTTATCAAAATAACTATAAACAACAAAACTCGATCAAGTAACGGAAAATTTTTCCAACTGAACTTAGGTCGACCTCACCCAGCAGATATGCAATACATTCCAGATTCACCGAACGAGTCGTTCTCGTATCGTGGATATAACAAACGAAGGGTCTGGAAAGGTTACGATTTCGCATACTTTAATTTTTTGATCAATTAAGACTTTCAATATCACAGGGGTTGACTCGAAAACCAAAATGAAGCTCTTATAAGTTATAACGTACACAGCAATTAAATGTCATTACAATTCATGACAAACTTGTGTAAGCAAGATGAGCTATGGAGGGAAGGCGGTAGGCCTGAAATAGACATGCGCACTAGATAGGTGCGGAACATAAATGAAATAAACTCATTACTCTCAGTCGAGGACACCACGTAGACATCAACTACTGGAAAAACATCAAATAAATTCCTTGAATATCTCTCGAAGCCGGAAATACTACATTCAACTTCAATAAGAAGTAAAACTATCATCATGAGAAATCTCGAGTGACGAAGATCAAGCGTGACTAGAATTACACCCTCCCCTCACCGCATCAGCACCGCTACTGATCTTGCGGCGCACTTGGAGCCTTGGACTGTCGGGTCCCGGCGTCGCGCAGCTGTGCAGGAAACGCCACCGTCGATGCCGGCAGCTCTCATGCGGAACGCGGGAGGGTAACATTGCTCTGCTCTCAGTGTTGACATACAGAGAAATTTCCTTAATGAACTCACTTGTTCTCATTTGCCAGAAGATAAAGTTCCTACAATCTTCCAATACAAAAATTTCTTGAACTGAGCTATACAGGGAACGATTTCGGCCAACTCACAAGCGTCTTCCTTCAATCAAATCTACCGGCCGCGTCTTTGGCAGTCGGTGAACCAATTTCATCAATTGCGAAAAGTGCTCAAACAAATGAACTTAAACCTAAAAAATAAAAATATTCCACATAATTTAAGAGACACAAGACGCGCCCAGCTGACGTACGCGACAGTCAGTACAGAGTCGCAAGGCTGTTTCTATTGACTGACACCTCGCTGACACTGACTGATGCTCAACGTACGCGCCACGCAGGCGTGTGTGGACCTGCGTGTAGTGTGGGCGCTGCCTCACTGCGTGTCACGTAGACACGGCCTTATTGTGCGCCGAGGGCTGATCCTCGCTGTGTGGTGTGTGTGTATTGTCTCAGGGTGTGGTGTGTGTGGTACTTTGAACGTGTTTTTGGAACTTCGTTTCCTTCCGCACAACAACTTAATAGATATTAACCATCATCACTATTATCGACAGCAATGATTTCATTTTTGACGTCAAGTTTGCGAAAAAATCGCTTTATGTAACGCGTTAGCCCGATAAATCAGAACATTCGTCCACTTTCTTATCATTCGTTCGTGTTCAGATCATTTCATCAGACAATTTATCAATTATTAATAACTTATTATTTGTTAAATTTACTGCGAAACCAGTTTTTCACACCTATGCGAGAGGTTTCCATACAAGGTGAAGGCTCACAAGCTAACCGATGCAAAACATTTAATTATGGGAATGAGAGATGATAAAGCTCAATATCAATATGAAATGATGATGATGATGATGGTGATCAATGTAATTATGATGGTTATGTCATAATGGCGATGATGATGAAAGCACTTCACCAATTCGGAGACATTCTTGGAGCATACGTAAGGGAACCATCATCTGTTGTAGGCATACAGAGTGCATCTGGTGAGCGTATATAAGTATATATTTCTGGCATGTCTACCTACCAGAAACTTGTGCATCTGAAGAGAGTGTCCTTACTCTCCTAGGGACCTAAGGAGAGATTCATATATTCATATTCATAATAATACGGTGGATACTCCATAATTGAAGAAAAACCCCACCAATAGAACACATATCTGCTGACGACATATACACACACGAGATTCTCGTACATCTATGAGGAACGTATATGTATATAGAAAGCATAGTTATCAATGGGAGGCGTAACTATAATAAGCCGCCGACCGATGCCCTCCATACAACATGCCCCACCCTGTAATTTAAAAGGGCGTTATAGCCCCAAGGGCGACATAATACATATTACACAGCCTCACACTGTGCGAGTCCGTCGACATATCTACACAGTCTATAGCTCACACCCAACCTAGGAAAATAAATAGGTTATAGTGTCTAAATAATTACATTCTTATCTACAGCACGATCGCACGGAGCGGGCGTAGCGTCTATACGCCCT